ATTTATTACCTGGTGGAATTCAAAAACTATTTAATGAAAGGGAAGGGGGGGGTGATACAATTTAAGGGGTCATTTAAATTTAAAAATTCATGCTATACGTACAACCAAAAAAAGATTTTGTATTTCCATAAGTGCGGTAAAACTATGGAATAATTTAAGTGTGGACATAAAAAATAGAAAGAAAATTGATGAGTTTAAACATAAATATAAAGGTATGTGTCAATCAAGATATATACAAGAACAGGCTCAATGATTAATTACATGGACAATTGTGGGTGTGGTGTACATTTTGTAATAATTCTTTAGTATATTACTTGTGTGATGTAAGAATGTTAACACTGTTATAATCTTTTTTTAGTATAATATGTGTGTGGGTAGAAGTGAATCATTTACTGCTTGCAAACCAATGATGGTAAGATGATGTCATGGGGTAGGACTGGATAAGTCTGATTTCTTCCTACTCCATTCAAGCATGTACTAGGTATAAGCAAATTGATATTGGATTATGTGTAAAATTATGTGTGTTGTCATATCAACTGTTTTACATGCTTGAAAGAATAAATCAAATCAAATCAAATAGTCTTCGCAAACTCTTCAAAAATCTTAGTTATATGGTTCAGAATCTCTGAATAGGGAAATATTTCTCAACATACTGACAGTTTTATTTTACTGCTTAGTCCACACACAGCAGTGTAAGCAATACACAAACCCTTTAGCTAAGTGAAAGTTGTAATACATGGTGTAAAAATACTCTCCTACTAGTAATAGCCCATTGAAATACTGTACTTAAGAGTCAGAAATATTATCAGTAAAATGTTAGTATCTAAGAAACGAATGTAAAAGTATCAAAAGCACTAATTATAAAATATATCACTGCATGATTAGTACCGGCTAATCAAAATTTAAAGAGGATTGTGATATTGTAGTTTATCAGGATAGAGCCAACTTTAAAACACTGGAGTAAACAGTACAATAAATCTCTGAAATGTAGGGGAGTACAAACACAAGGTAGCATCAAATGTAAATACTCTAAGCATCTCGGAACTGTACTTAAGTATAGTCCTTGAGTGAGTGTACTTACTTTCCACTACTGTCTGCATGTGATATAAAAGAAACCAGGAAAGATCACCCATTATTGCCACACTAAAATATAGCTACTACAGATTATCACAAAATCGCTGATCATGTTCCCCTGGTGGTGGATGAACAATGTAAAACCATGTGAGAAGTAAAAGCAGAAATATCAAACGAAAAACTTCCACCATATCCTGTTCCAAGCAACCACGGAAAGGAGTCATGGCAGAGGAGTGAAAGAATGAAAACAATAGGGACCTGTCATTCTTCAAGAATGAGGGCATAACACTGGATTCCCCCCCTCCCCCCGGGTGGTTATCAGCGATGACGTTGGCTTGTCTAGGGAAGGGTGTGAAAGGTGAAAGGTTCTCTGAGCCCAGGGGTTTCCTGCTCCCCATTGTCTCTCTGACAACCTGTCCTTGGCAGAAGAAACTAATCTATGAAGGTAGGTAGGAGTGAAAGAACACGAATAAGAGTTGGGACATGCGAACATCTGAGCAAAAACAAGAAATCTAATGGTTAGAGACACAGATAGGGTGACAGGCAAATATATATCAGTGAAGTAATATTCATGCTATAGGGAGAGATAAGGCTGTAATAGTAGGTGTAAAAACTGCCTAATAATGCTGTCACATATGCCTATAGATTCAGAAATCTGAGTGATGGTGATTATAAACACTGACAGTGATGACTTAAGCAGAAACGTTTAGCAAAATCAGTTTAACAAGATCAAGACAGCAGAATTCGATCAAAACTGCCATCTTAGAATACAATTTAAATACAGCAATGTACCTACATAAATATGAAATTGCTCCATACATTCAGACTGTAGCAGCTCCAGGTGAGGCCTTTGCTGCCATCTCCTGACAAAAACATAGAAGGCATAAACGCTAAATTCAAAACATCCACATACAAATACGAAAAATATGGTTCAACATACCTTTTTAATACCAAGAAACATCTTCAAAAACCTCATCTAGACAGTGAGCCTAATGCAAAAACATTTCCATTTACAGAGAACAAGATCTCTTACTTTTCTCTGAGGCTTGTTTGTACAAATGCCACAAGTCAGATACACCAAACTCTCAACTGCTCAAATCACTTGTTTCAGACTGATGAACACCACTTGTATGTGAGCAGGTGTGCGCTTGTGAGATCTGATCATTGGCATAATCAGTGCTAACATTATCATACAAGGCCACCTACCTGTTCCACTTCATTTGTGGGATTTTTTTCTGTAAATACTGTACATTTTTAATTAAATTGATTTCTGTATCATATTTAATCTCCAAATTAATTCAGATGTTTTCCCTTTGTGAAGACTCATAAGACCATGTTGGACCACTTAGCCACAAGATCATTTTACATACAGGAAAAGTGGGGGATGCCACAAATTCTCTCAAATCTCTTGTACGTGCCACTTATGAACAAATCAAATGATGCCACAACTGCATTACTGTACATTCATTTGTGTAACATACAAGAGCAACAAATGCAAAGAATTAAAAACAACACCTTATAAAAATACATTAAAACAGGCAACAAAGGTGGAATTTACCGACTGAACACAAAGGTACTGTTATGATGTCTGTGATACCGCATATGATTTAGCAGTTCACTACTTCAAAGTCTTACAAGGCCAGCTATGGACAACTGGCACAGACTGGAGCTGATTAAATCCTTTACGACTCATGGACAGATCAGTGTGGTCTAAGGGAATAGGTTCAACCGATTCATTTTCTTATGAAAAACAATGGTTGATTTAACTATAACCTGCTGAAATGGTCTCGTTTCTTTATAACTATAACAATTTTTCCTATGTATTCTTAGGCGTTCTTGCTCTACCACAGGAAATGGACTTGGCAAACCCTGGACCCTCTTCTAATAAACTATAGTGTGTATGTGTTTCACAGAGCAGCTGTGTCCCATTTTAGACTGTTGCCTCAATGTCCTGAGGGTCTTCCCCCTCCAGCAGGCTGTAAGACGCATGACTCTGGAAAGGTCTCTGCAAAGGGTGAGCCAGAAGTTTGGCCATGCAGTTGTGCAGCTCGATGGCGGGCCCACTCAGGGAAACCTCAAAGCGATAGCACATGCTCTTTGAGTCCAGGTTGCAGAAAGTGGTATAGTTGTCCTGGAAATATAAAAAACACCACACAGTTGGTGTGTGGAGAGAAATATCCTGTTTATAGTGTCAGATGAAATGCTATTATATTTAGGCAGGCTTTACAACATTCCTCCATATACTTCAGGCTTAGTAAAATGGATGAAATACTTAAGTGAATTCACTGCCAATGCAGGAAGGTCTCAAACAGGTAAGACTAGAAATTGGCAGTAGTACCTAGATGTGCAATGAATGGTTTTCTGTACTATTGAAATACACTAAGCTACAGCACAACCTGGTACACAGTCAAAGCTTGTCACTGTCAGCTTATTCACTCACTCTCCAGCTGGTCTCATCTCCCTGCTCCTCCACCCCATTGTGCAGGTAAACCACATCAAAGAAAAAATATGGAGACTGCAGCATTTTCTGTAGCAGGACACAAGAATAAGTAAAACTTTCATTCAATATACATTTAGCATGCTGCACAAATCATTCACCGAAAGAAAAGATAAACATCTCTCTTGGGGGAAATCAAATACACTCTAAAAATAAAAGACCAGTTGTATAAAGCTCTGATGCTGTGTATGAAGTAAAGTCAGAAAAAGGGGAAATTTCAGCAGTGTTGTACTTACACCAACAGCTTCAGAAGGATTGAACTGTAGCTGTCCTGCATGGCGGCTGTAGATGAGCACAGTCCGCACCACATATGGAGGTGGGATGGTCTGAATGTTTTCCATCAATGGTAGCTCAATCTTCAGGCGACTACAAAGGCAGCAAAAGAAGAGATGACCTTCAATGAACCACCTCACGTAGATTTTCATGTATTTTATAAGACCAAAAAGGTTAGTAGTCAGATGGTACTTACATTACATTAAGAAGATCTTCGAGATCTACAGAGGTGAGTTAAGGTGAAAATTTAACACTGACAATTTAATCACTTCCTAACATGTCGATTGGGATGTAACAATACCAAAAACTCTCAAACTGAAATGCTGCCAAACAGCTCTAAATGTCAACGATGGAGCATCTGCTATGTTACTTTCAAATTAATAATAACCATATGTAATATCCTGGTAGATGCCATCACAGTTCCACAACATTATCAAGACATTTTTCTATCACAATATTGTGAAATGACAAATAATGTTACATCCCCAGTATCAATTCATTGTATGAATTTTATTCTCATTGTTTAAAAATTTGTTTTGAATGAAAGGATACTGAAGGACTCGCACACATTGGTCTCCAGATCATACAGACAGCTGCACAGTTCCCTGGGGTCAGACGTGAAACCTGACAACTGAAGCACATAAACATAAGAAAATAAAAAGCTAGTGTTCTAACAAAATGGGAGACTCTGCATAAATACATCTAGGGCTGGGTATCATTCCAAAATGTTCAACACCGGTACAAATACGATACCTTGCTTTCTATGTCGGTTCCTAAATGATACTTTTTCAATACCAAATTTATAAAATCAGTTTTAACAACAACAGCAAAACCAAAACAAACTAATATAATTACACATTTTGGTACAGATCATTAGTTTTATTTTTTAATTCACTGGCATTTTTGTGCACTCAAAGCCTTTTCATAGCATAAAAAGTAAAATACAGTCATGTGGAAAAATTAGGACACCCTTTGAAAGCATGTGTATTTTGTAACATTTTTTAATATATGGTTATTTAATCTCAATTTTAACAATACAGAGAGATTAAAGTAAAACAACTAAACAATTAAAACTGAAGAAAAGTCTTTTCAAGATCTTCTGTAAATGTAATTCTACAAAAATGCCTATTCTAACTGAGGAAAACGATAGCACACCCTAGCCCTTAATAGCTAGTGTTACCTCCTTTGGCTGAAATAACTGCAGTGAGACGGTTCTTGTAGCCATCTACCAGTCTCTGACATCGGTCTGAGGGAATTTTACCCCACTCCTCAATGCAGAATTGTTTCAGCTGTGAGATGTTTGAGGGGTTTCTTGCATGTACTTTCAGCCAGAGTCCTGGAATGGCCGAGTCAAAGTCCAGATCTGAATCCCATTGAGATGCTGTGGGGTGACTTGAAAAGGGCTGTACATGCAAGAAACCCCTCAAACATCTCACAGCTGAAACAATTCTGCATTGAGGAGTGGGGTAAAATTCCCTCAGACCGATGTCAGAGACTGGTAGATGGCTACAAGAACCGTCTCACTGCAGTTATTTCAGCCAAAGGAGGTAACACTAGCTATTAAGGGCTAGGGTGTGCTATCTTTTTCCTCAGTTAGAATAGGCATTTTTGTAGAATTACATTTACAGAAGATCTTGAAAAGACTTTTCTTCAGTTTTAATTGTTTAGTTGTTTTACTTTAATCTCTCTGTATTGTTAAAATTGAGATTAAATAACCATATATTAAAAAATGTTACAAAATACACATGCTTTCAAAGGGTGTCCTAATTTTTCCACATGACTGTGTATTTGCCACAACTTTAAGTTCTGTTAACATTAACCTCAATAAGTTAAAAAAAATGTAGAAAAGCATTTTTTAATACACATTTTTTGATATATGATGGTATGGAGTAATTCAATCGATGCCTTAAAAGTACTGAAGTTTGATACCCAGGAATAGATACATCACGCACGCACTTTAGGTAACATGGATGAGATTAAAATGATTCTGGACTCACCCACAGGGCGTCGTCATTGACTACAACCAGGGCAAATTCATGACGTTTGTCAATCTTATGTTTAGTTCTAACAAACATCTCAATCATCTTCTGGGATATATTCAGAGCATTTGTTTTAGACCTAAAGGGAAAGACAGTCAAATCAGCCAGTGAAGACAAATGAAGCACCAGTACTGAGACTTTTTTTGTAACTTACCCATTAAAAGACTCTAACTTCGGCAAAGACATCTCTTCAGAAAGATCTAAGCAGATAATCTGTTATGAGGAACAGAACAACAAATTGAAAAAATGCTCAAAAATATATTTTGATTTTAATGTGGAGCCTCATAAATCATAATTTAAGGCCTACCACTTTCTCTGGGCAGTTGACACGGGGTACTCGAAGCTGGTACTCTGGTGGTGGGACAGAGGTTGTCAGCGTGGACTGCTGGGGTGTGGGCTTCGGCCTCTCTTTGACGGCAGCAGCTGCAGTGGATAGGGGCACCGGTGCACTGGCTGCAGCAGGTGCTACCGTTTGAGCTGCAGCTGTTGAAACAGTTGTGGTGGTGGAAGTCTGAGGACTGTCGCTGGTCGAAGCCTCACCCTCCCCCTCAACACGACTGCCAACAGCAGGCTGAGATATGTTTGGGTTACTGTTGCCTCCCAGGCTGCCGGTGCTGCTGCGACGGTCCTCAGCACCTTCAGGATTGGAGCGTGTTCGAGGTCGCATCTCCACCAAATGCTCTTCTCCATCTGCTGGGCCAGGTTCAGGTGTCTCCATGGATACAGGTGGTTTCTAAGGAGCTGGAGGTGATAATTGAGTTCGGATTAGCGGCAAGTTGGGCTGACCATGCAATGAGACTATACAGGTATGTGCCAAAAAATTAGAATATCAAGGAAAAGTCCATTTATTTCAATAATTTGTTTCAAAAAGTGAAACTTGTATGTTATATTAGTTCACTACACACAAAGTGAAATATTTCAAGCCTTTATTTGTTTCAATTTTGATGATTATGGATTAAAGACAAAAAAAATTCCTCTTGACAATACCCCATAGATTTTCAATGGGGTTTAAGTCAGGTGAGTTTGCCGGCCAATCAAGTACAGTTATTCCATGGCTATTAAACCAGGTACTGGTAATTTTGGCTGTGTGGGCAGGTGCCAAATCCTGCTGGAAAATAAAATCTTCAGCTCGGCAGCGGGAAGCATGAAGTGCTCTAAAATTTCCTGCGTTGACTGTTAACTTGATAAAAGACAATGGATCCCCACCAGCAGATGACATGGCTCCCCAAACCATCACTGACTGTGGAAACTTCACACTGGACTTTAAGCAGCTTGACTTTTGTGCCTCTCCGGTCTTCCTCCAGACTCTGGGACCTTGATTTCCAAATGAAATGCAGAATTTGCTTTCATCTGAAAACAGGACTTGGGACCACTGGGCAATAGACCAGTACTGTTTCTCCTTAGCCAAGCACAGACGTTTCTGACGTTGTTTTTGGTTCAGGAGTGGCTTGACGCATGGGATTCTACAGCTGTAGCCCATGTTATGCAGACGTCTGTATGTGGTGGTTCTTGATGCACTGACACCAGCCTCAGTCCACTCCTTATGAAGCTCCCCCAGATTTCTGAATCGCCCTTGCTTGACAATCCTCTCAAGGCTGCGGTCATCCCTGTCACTTGTGCACCTTTTCCGGCCACATTTTTCCCTTCCTCTTAACACTCTGTTAATATACTTCGATACTGCACTCTGAGAGCATCCAGCTTCTTTTGCAATTGCCTTTTGAGACTTTTCCTCCTTATGGAGGGTGTCAATGATGGTTGTCTGCACAACCGTCAAGTCAGCAGTCTTCCCCATGATTCTGAAGCCTACTAAGCCAGACTGAGACAATTTCAAGGCTGAGGAAACCTTTGCAGGTGTTTTGCATTAATTAGCTGACTAGATTGGGACACAGGGAGCCTACAATGTTGAACTTTGTCATGATATTCTAATTTTGTGAAATACTGGATTTGGGTTTTTTTTTGTCTTTAATCCATAATCATCAAAATTGAAACAAATAAAGGCTTGAAATATTTCACTTTGTGTGTAGTGAACTAATATAACATACAAGTTTCACTTTTTGAAACAAATTATTGAAATAAATGGACTTTTCCTCGATATTCTAATTTTTTGGCACATACCTGTATATTAGATTCCAGTGCTTGGAAGACAGAAATGAATGTTTATGATAAACTCAGGTTCAGGTAAAGTATCAGAAGAGATGACGGGCTAAGCATAAGGTTAGATTCAGTTTAAGTAAGAGAAAATACATATCTATGCAGAAACAAACTTTAAAACCACCTACTCCTGAGCCTTTAAATCTAAAGTACACCATACTGAGAAAAAAATGGACCAAAAGATCCTTAGCATTTACCTGTGGCTGGTATCCTCTGATATTAAAATCTAAGTATAACTCAAATTCACCAAGTAGTCTTTCTGCCTACCCCTCAAAAAACAATAACTGCAAGCTCAAAACGATGTCTATAAATCTTAAAATATCTAAACAAGAGTAGCTTTTAAATTGCAACATGCCAAGTCGTGTCCTACTCCGATAGTTAACACATAAAAGCTGAATAAACTATCATGCCCACACCGACTGTATATGCTAACTTATTAATCGTATTTATACTTTCAAAAACACGATATTACGCAAAATATAACGTTAAAAGTAACTCCACATTAGTACAGGTGCAATTTTGTTCGTGTGAACGCAGAGTGCATACAGTATGTAGTAAATTGGGAGAACATTTGCACGCATTGTTTGTTTAAATATGCGCACAGATAGCCTGACAATGACTCTAAGTGGCTAAGAAATAGTTTGCTCTACAATGGCCCGTAGAGCAAGGTGACATTTGATGACAGCGCAGTATCAGTCTTAGCTGTTAGCATTAGCTAGCTTTACCAAAATTTACGTCAAAGCAGATTAGTGATAAAGTCTGAAATGTGTTATGTTTAAATAAAAAAACCAAACGTACCTTAATAATGATTACGACACTTCTAGGATTTCATTAAAGACAATTTCATTGTAAGTTGCAAAACATTTTATCGCCAAGCTAAAATTTGTTTTGAACCATTTTAAACGAACATCTTCCTCGCCGGAAATTATCAAATCACAACTGCACAATCTCGTGGAATTATGGGTAATGGAGTTTATAGGGCGAATAAAGCTTTCCTTTCCTACTCCTGTGTTACCACTGTGTAATTGGTGAAAAGTAACTACGTATATTTACTCAAGTACTGTGCTTGGGTACAGTTTTGCGGTATCTGTACTTGAATATTTCCATTTTCTGCTATACATCAACTTCAGCTGAGAGAAACCATCCTTAAACAACAAAGTGCGATTATAAATCATTTGTCCTTGTCCAAATTGATTTTCACTGCATTTTAACATCACATTGCATGTTTATCATAGTTGTGAGCAGAGCAGCTCTGGATAACCACAGTTCACACAACTGGCCAAACCTACTGTTAAAAAGCATGGAAGCAAACTGTGGACAAAACAGGAAAAGACACAAAGTGACGACAAATGGGTGGGGGTAATGTTCTGAGTGTTTTCCACTTACTTCATTCATCATATTAAATACTTGTAGGCAGACATGCAGAGAACAGACTGGTGCAGCAACTGACTGACTACTGGAGGATATAATAACTAAATAGTGGAAATGAAGAACATCTCATATTTTCAAAAGTTTAAACACGACAGGAATTGAATCAGTCCTACAGATCATCAAGAACAAGAAGTATGGCGGTAAGTTATGATGACGTTTTTCAGTGTTTGTCTTGAAAATATGTCACTTAACATAAGGAGCATTATGTAACCACATAGTCAAGTGATTTTAAAATGTCAGAAATTGTAAATGTGTTTATCTGGCAGACTACCCAATGTACTTTTTACCCAGTGCATGCTGGAACTGCTGCTCTGTAACTTTAACTAAGAATAGTTTGATATTAGGGATAAGGAATTTGAAGAATGTTGTAAACAGTGGTCGGCACAATATACTGTATGTTAAAATTCATATGATTAAAAGACAGACCTTGCAAATTGTGTCATTCTGGAATATTTGTAGGCATTATATGAACTTTATACCAGAATTAAAGAATGACATGTGTTCTAGTCATTTAGCCGACATTCTTTGTACACAACAAAAGATGTTTTAGTCCACAAATATTTGCTAGACAGGAAGTGAGATCTCAGGATGTTTTAGTTTCCTCCTTTTCCGCTACTCAAAACAATAGCCGCTAAACAGTGTAGCAACAATGTCATGTTCAATCGCGTTACATACATTATTTTTAATGAAAATACCTACTGAGGTATTTTTTTTACAAAACTCTTCACTAGATGATGAATATTCAAAGCAAAAGAATGCTTTATTTTTCTGTTTACTGCACACATATGAGTAAAACTAAAGGGAGAAATGAAGACGTTTGCCTCAATATAGAGTAAAACCTTTTAAAAAACCCCACTGGGATAACACTCCCCATGTTTTATTACCTGACAATCTTTGTTCAAACACTTCAGAATTCCTCTCTGGTCCGATGTGACAGTCTGGATACTGGGACAGGATGTGTCAGGGACATGATCGACCATATGACATTTGACACTGAGGGCCCTGACCCTACAGCAACCCTCGAACCTTCACCAGCAGACCTGGCTCAGTGCGAGGCTGAAGTTGGCACACTGCTCAGCATCATTGCTGAACTGAACAAGAAGATGGGGTCACTAAAGGCACCAAGGTAACATTAGTGAAGGGTGAGATAAGTAAATTTACAGCAGCAATGTGTTTGACTTTGGCATAATAACATCCATAAAATGACTGTGTTTGAATATATACTGTTGTGAAACAATTGTTAGTGCATATTTTTACATGTTTTTTCCATCAGTAAATTATATATAGGACACATCTCATGTATATACTAGCAGAAATGTTTGATATTCTTCTTCTGCAGTGAATCTGATGATATGAGACCATCAGGTCCATCCACACCCAGGCCTTTGGTTCCTGACATCCTGTCTCATAGGGTGGTCACAAGCAGCGCAGAGAGACACATTGCGTCTGCTGTTGCATCTAAATCCCCTCTGACTGATCGAGGTTGGTGGCAGCATTGTGCAAATTCATCTTTGTTCAGTAGACTTCATCAGTGTGTACGTGTTCTGTATGTCAGTGACCTTTTCCCCATCAAGGCAGTCAGGAAATATTGCTCTGTGTCCAAAAGAACAGTTGATTCTTTTATTTTTTTCCTCTAAGTCTCTAAAAGACAGCAAGTTATCTTCAGGAAAGGCAACTATTTATCTAACATACATGTTTATTCATTCATACACAGGAGCTATTCTTGTCTAGTAGAATATAAAACTGCCCTTCACATTACCTAATAGGACTGATTGTATGTTGACTCTTCGTCCTCTAGGGGGCAGTGGCGTTGTGTGGACCAAACTGCAGGAGGTTTTGTCATCACTGGAGGACTCCATCAGCTGTAGAAGGACCTGGGCCGCCCCCATCACAGCCTCTGACCAGGACAAGCACAAAGAGCATCTGAGAGCAGCCCAGGAGAGCTGGGCTAAGGCTACTCAGGTATTAGGGCAGGGATAATTCATGTGTCAGTAATCTGTTTGAATTTCTGATATTACACTGGCCATTTCCAACAAAAGTCTGACCTGCTCTCTAATAAGACCCTGTAAACCACAGTTAATGTTCTTCAAGCAGTTTTGTGTCTGTCAGAGTTCTGCTATTGTTAATGTTTGTGCTATTGTTTAGACTATTTATCTTATTTACCGTATATGACTTATCAGTTTGGGATCTTGTTTGCAGATATTAGAGGAGATGGAAAGAG